AATGCAGAAGCAACCAGTTGGTTGGACCGAGTCCCTTATAACCAATATAATGTGGAGAAATCTCTTAGCTCAAGCCTTGTATCAGATTGCTATCCTCCTGGTCTTCCAATTCAAAGGTGAATCCATAGTGTCACACCGGGGTAAATGACTCGCTGATGTTCAATACTTTCGTGTTGTGTTAAGTTTTTAACGAGTTCAACTCAAGGAAACTTGAGAAAAAGAATGTCTTCAGTGGAATTTTGAAGAACAAATTGTTTTTGGGAATTGTGGCGGTAACAGTCATTCTTCAGGTGGTAATGGTGGAGTTCCTGAAGAACTTTGCTAATACGCGGAAATTGAAACTTTCGCAATGGGGAATTTGTATTATGACGTGGACCAATAGAGGGACGAATTCGTGCACCAATAATGCGGCAAACCAACTCTCCCACTTCCCTTCTTTTTCCTTCCTATTTCCCTCACTGCCAGCGGCCTATTTTCATGTAATTTTAAAAATGTTTATGTCCTAACAAAGCATAATTCTTTTTCTAATTTCCTTTTCCCTTCTATCATTGCATTTTGATGTATACTCTTTCCTAACATTTTAGCTGCATGCTGCCATTCATTCGACCACACCACTACAATCTCTCTTCTCCCTGCAATATATACTAATTAGACTCAAGTTCATGAATCATGAAGTAGATATATATGTATATTGCCGTTCTTTATTTCTTTTTAAAAAATACTTGTTTTGGTTTGAATTAGTAACAAAATGTCAATTTAAATTGAAAATGACCACAATATATTCATGAGTTTCCTTAACATGATCAAAAAGGCACTATAGTCCTTTCAAATCTTTAATCGATAATTTTTTTTTTTTTTATTGTAAGGACGGAATGAAAAACAATAGTTTCTTTTCTTTATTGCTCTTTCTGCAAAGTAGATAATAATTATAAAATGACACGGAGGCTATACTTTTATTACTCGTAATACTTTAAGCAAAGAAGCATGTTCTCTTCTTCCCTAAGGTTCCAAGAACCCTCCCTCTCTCTCTTATGAATAGGCTTATTTACACCAATGAGAGTTGGATCAAGTGGTAAACGGTTTGTTTCAGTTTAAGCAAGGTTTCGAGTTCAAAACCTTGTGAATGCAGCAGCCCTCGCTGGGAGACTCACCCACTATTTCCAAGTACGCGACGCGGATTGGATCTGGATTAGTCGAGACGAAACTCCGGATACCGAACGATAAACCCAAAAAAATAGGCCTATTTACCAGAAAGTCAGTGTAAATGCGTTGTTTGAATTTTGAGAGACTGAAATCGCACGTGAAGCGCCAAAAGAAGAGAAAAAGGGAAAGGTGCTAAATGGGTTAAAGCCAACTATCGTCCCTCCACTTTGTAAAAAAGTTCAATTTAACCCTTATCACCTCAGGTCATCCCTCTACTTCATTTTGAGCTCACATGTCCCCCGTCTAGCATTTAAAAAATGATTAATTTCGTCCCTCCATCCATTCCATGGCTAACACCATCACTTTTTACCGTTAAGGCCTAACGGTTTGGCGTTTAACATATATTTCTATATTATTCTCTTTTTCAATTTAACTATAATAGGACCCACCAATGCCATATCATATTCCATATTAATATCTTTCTATATGAATATTTTACTTCTTTTTTTTCAATTATTAGCCATGTTTGTTTCTCTTTTTATTAACTTTTTAATTGAGTCAATCAAAAAGATAATTTTCAAAACTATGGTAAGTAATTAAGTAAATTTAATTCTTTTTTTTTTAAGAAATAGATAAATTTTTTTTAATTTTATTAAGGTTTAAAAAAATTATAACTAGAAAAAGAAAAATTCATAACTCCTATTACTATCCTTTTAATTGTAAACTTTAGGTGGTCTAAAGTATGTTCACAATTTGCAATTCTATTCATGTACATATGTGGGCTAAGCAAGTACATGAGTAAAATATTTGTCTATATTTTATTTAATTTAAAAATTAATAGATATAAAATTTTAATACTCAGTATTTATTTAGATTTTAAAAATTTATTTTTATTATTCAACTAGTTGAGTATAGGTATATGTAGATGTACTTATATATTTGTTGAATATTATAATCTTTTAATACAAATTAAAATATAATTAAACCTATTTCAAAACATATATTTTACTTTATACATAATATATAAACATAAGTTTCCTTAAATGCACTAATTCAATGCGAGAAGTGTGTTATTAAAATAACTCAGATAAGGATTAGTTTCAAGATGCAAAAAAACTAGTTTGGAAACATCTTGACTATAAATATCAAAAAAATAATACCTATATATATATATAATGACTTTACACTTATAATAAAATACATAATTAAATTGGAATACAAACGCCAAAAGTAGTAAAAGGTACTAATTGAGGATATAATGCTTTATTTCATGTATGCTACCTTCTTTTTATTTACTTTAGGAGAGAAATATTTTTTGAGTTTATCTTAAAATAACAATCATTTCTTATAGTTTGAGAATGAAAAGTTTATTTTTTAAGGGTTGTTTTAAAAACACATGCATTTCTTATATTAAACTAGTGCATTCAAAGAAACTTATGTTTGTATATTATGTATGAACCACGAACTAAAGTTTATGTTTTGCAATAGATTTAATTATATTTTAATTTATATTAAAAGGTTATAATATTTAACAAATATATAAGTATATTTGTAAGTATACCTATACTTAGCAAATTGAATAATAAAAATAAATTTTTAATACTTAAATAAATACTAAATATCAAAATTTTATATCAATTAATTTTCAAATTAAATACAAATATAGACAAGTATTTCACCCATACACTTGCTTAGCCCATTTATGCACATAAATAGAATAACAAATTGTGAGTTTACCTTAGATCACCCAAAGTTTACAATTAAAGAGATAGTAATAAGCATTAAAGATTTTTATTTTTCTAGTTATAATTTTTTTAAACCTTAATAAAATTCAAAAAATTCTATCTATTTCTTTTTTTTTAAATGAATTAAATTTACTTAATTACTTACCATAATTTTAAAAAATATCCTTTGATTAACTCAACGAAAAAGTTATTAATAAAAAGAGATAAATAAACGTGGCTAATGATTGAAAATAAAAGTTGGTTAAATAGTAATGGAGAAGGATATTAATATGGAGTGTGATGTTGCATTGGTTATAGCCAAATTGGAAAAAAGAATAATATAGAATTTAATTTAACCATAAGTTAAAATTAAGTTTTAATTAATAATATGATCGATCGATATATGTTTAGGATTTCTCTAAAAAGGGAACAAGTGAATGTGCAATATATGTTATTTCCTTGATTAGAAACATATGAAAGATGATAGTTTTGATTTGTAAAATGATAAAGGTTGTATACTTAATTAAAAAATTTTGAAATATGCATGGTAGTCTTAATTAATGTCTACATTCTTAATTAGAAAAATTTTGAAAAATGTTGTCCTTTTTATACAACATCTCTTAAAGAAACTCAATAATTTACCTCATTAATGATTAAATTAGTCACTCGATCTTCTTCCTCAAAGACATTCCCAACTAATGAGAACTATCCTCGTACCTTGTATGGTCATATAGAAAGACATGAAAATTATTATCCTACCCAATGACAAAGAGCTCCAACATTCTTGTTCCTCGTTTAACTTTTGTATATAATTAGAGTAATTAAGAGAAGAAATGTACAGATAAAAGTAAAAATTGAAATAAAAATTTTATCAATTTTTACTTAATGACACAAAATTTTCGAGTCTCTAAATTTATGCACAATAAACTTTTATTTTTTTTTTTCTAAATAAGAATACAAATTTTAAGTTTTTGTTATTTAAGAATTTATTGAATAATGATGATAACATATAAAATGGCAATCTTGATCAAAATACATTAAAAATTTACATCCTTAAATAAAAAATTACAAAATTCATTTTTTTAGATTGAAAAAAGTGAAAAGTTATTGCTTGATTTAAAAGCTTGAAAATTTTGT